TCAACGTACGACAGCAGGTCCCCATGTAAGCGGTCAGCATCCCTACGCGGCGCACCAGTGGCACAGAGGGTCAGCATCCCTACCGATTGAGATCCCTTCTCTTTTACTGATTGATTCTCCAAGACTTCAAGAGCTATCTTGCCGTAAAAGTGAGAGGGGCCGTAAAAAGAAGTTGGGTTTATGGGAGCTGTTGAAATGCTATTTTTGTCTTAACTTATCGTAAACAATAGTTTATTCAAGATTAGGAAAGCTGTTGGCAGGGACAGATTCAAGGGGGGACGAGGGGGGGCGAGACCCCCCCTAACGATCGTGTCCCACCGTAATAGCGATCAGTTGATCGCCAAATTTTCGTGCTAGGAAACTGCCCGTGACTTGCTTCGCCCCCCCCCTATGCGCCTACCATAGCCAGGGCCCATGTATTGTTGTCCAATCGCCTGCAACCAGGCCCAAATTCCAGTTTGCCTAAAAAAAGGCCCAAATTCGAGTAAAAGAAAAAGGGAAAGTAGCCCACCACGGAATCAAAGGGGCCAGGCTAGGAAGTACTAGTACACATAGGTCTTCTTGAATCCTTTCGTGTCCAACCTGCTAAAAACTGCTCCTGCGATCTGAGTCTGCCGCCGGCTGCCTGCAAGATCTTCTATTGAATCTATCCGTCGAGAAGGAAAGATGACAGAAGCGTTGTTTTGTCGATTCAATAGCTTATTCTGGCCGGCCGGCCGTACGGATGATCAACCAAACGAAATGAGGAAAAAGGTTAAGTTTTTTACTTTGAGCATTAGATTTGATTGTCTTTCAATCTGTAGAAGGCATAATTGTAAGACTACAGACATTAACAACTGGCTCACACGATTTGATCCAAAATTCCCAATAGCTGCCGCTCTCTTCTTGGCACGAGCCTCCGCCAGGAAGCAGGAAGCACTATTGTTTGTCAGCGTTGTATCTCCTTTGCGTCCAAACTCGAGCAAAAAAGTGATGTTGCCACAGCGTTGCCGGCATGCCGCAATTGCACGCCATCTTCTATGGCAGAAATAGATCGTTTCTGAGGTATAATGTAGTATTGATTGTATTTTACATGAACATATTATTATTATGGTTTGATGATAGATAGAGATCTAGTCTATCTTTTATCTTGGTTTAGCTGTACTTTCCTAGACAAAAAATTAATAGAAAAGATAGAACGCATTGCTCTTTTCAAGCCATTTGCTTCAGGTTAGAACGTTGCACTGTAAATCAGCATTCAATGTGCTAATTGACTACCGATTGAAAAACATGCATTATTTTCTCATAAATTTTTTTTGCTTGTGCAACCATTACAGAATATACATTGCAATTTTATGTGAGACTTGATATACATATTACATCTGTGATAGCTATCTCTGTCGCCCCCCCTATGTTCAAATCCTGGCTCCGTCCTTGGCTGTTGGAGTTGCTTCAAGTGACTTTGCATTGTTGTGTTGCATGGCATGGCATGGTCTAAAAGAGGGATGGATCCTCTCCTCTCCTCTCCTCTCCTCTCCTAAGCATGCGGTGAGCCAGAGGTGATGCATGGCTTGCAAGGGAGGTGCCTGCCAAATTAAGTGAAACCACACATGGCATGCAGCCCTGCCCTGCCTGCCTGCTGCGTGCACGTCCGTCCTAAACGACCGTCGTTGGTCAAGCTCCCTCCCTCCGGCCTTCCCCTAGCTTTCTCTTTCTCTTTTCCCTTCCCTGGAAGGAACTCCAGGAGCAGGAGCAGGAGGAGAGGGAGGCCCTCCTCTGTTCTTCTCCCTCCTCAACATCCTTCCTTCCATCCATTAAATTTAAAAGTTGCCACCTTCAAAAACCTCCATCGCCGTGATTGCCCCATCATGGCGGCCGCCCGAGGCCGAGGCGTCCTTCTCGCCGTCCTCCTCTTGACGACGGTGGCCTTCGCGTTCGTCGGCGCGGACATATACAAGCCAACGGACTCCATTCTGGTTCACTGCGGGTCGGACAAGGACGGGCAGGACGAGGACGGCAGGAAGTGGACCACCGACAAGGACAGCAAGTGGCTCCCCGACGGGGGCAAGTCCTCCATCATGGGCACCGCCGACGTGTCGGACCCGTCGTTCCCCTCCCCCGTGCCCTACATGACGGCGCGGGTCTTCCCTAAGGAGACCGCCTACACCTTCCCCGTGTCCGACGCCGACCGCCACTGGGTGCGCCTCCACTTCTACCCGGCGGCTTACCACGACATCCCCGCCGACCACTTCTTCTTCTCCATCAGCACCTCCACCGGCATCACGCTGCTGCGCAACTTCAGCGTCTACATCACCGCCAAGGCCCTCACCCAGGCCTACATCGTCCGGGAGTTCTCCCTCCCTCCCTCCACCGCCGGCTCGCTCTCCCTCAAATTCACGCCCACTGCCATGAACAATGCCTCCTACGCCTTCGTCAATGGCATCGAGATCATCTCCATGCCCAACTTCTTCGGTGACCCGGCCACGCTGGTCGGCCTCGACGACCAGTCCCTCGACGCCAGCGCCGGCAACCTGCAGACCATGTACCGGCTTAGCGTCGGCGGCTCCTACATCCCGCCCACCAACGACTCCGGGCTGACCCGCGAGTGGTTCTCCGACACGCCCTACGTCTACGGCGCCGGCACGGGCGTCACCTTCGAGGCCAACGACACGATCCCGATCAAGTACCCGGCCCCCGCCGACGAGTACGCCGCGCCCGTCAGCATCTATGACACGTTCCGCCACATGGGCCGCGACGCCAACCTGAACAAGAACAACAACCTCACCTGGGTGTTCGAGGTGGACGGCAACTTCACCTACCTCCTCCGCCTCCACTTCTGCTCGCTCATGGAAGACAAGATCAACCAGGTCGTCTTCGCCATCCTCGTCAACAACAAGACGGCCACCACCACCGGCAGCGCCGACATCATCGCCTGGGCCAAGGAGAAGAACCCTGCTAATCCCGGCGCGCCCGGCAAAGGCGTGCCGGTCTTCAAGGACTACGCCGTGTTCATGCCCGCCGCTCCGGCGGGCAACGACACCATCCTCTGGCTCACGCTGCGCCCAGACACCGCCAGTAACCCACAGTTCGTCAACGCTTTCCTCAACGGCCTCGAGATCTTTAAGGTGAGCGACGCCTCCGGCAACCTGGCCGGCCCAAACCCCGACATTTCTAAGATGCTGGCGGAGGCCGAGCTGGGGGCCGTGGACGGGCAGTTCAGGGAGAAGCCGAGCAACGTCGGGGCGCTCATCGGCGGGGCGGTGGGCGGCGCGGCGGCATTCGGGCTGGTCGCGGCCGTGTGCTTCGTGGCGTACCAGAGCAAGAGGGGGAGGGAGCTGAGCAGCAGCCCATCGCACTCCTCCTCCAGGTGGCTGCCGGTGTACGGCAGCTCGCAGACGAGCGTGAGCAAGTCGTCGGGCGGGAGGAGCGCGATGACGCTGAACCCCAACATCACGGCCATGTGCCGGCACTTCTCGTTCCAGGAGATAAAGTCGGCGACCAAGGGGTTCGACGAGTCGCTGGTGATCGGCGTGGGCGGGTTCGGCAAGGTGTACCGGGGGGTGGTGGACGGGGACACCAAGGTGGCCATCAAGCGGAGCAACCCGTCGTCGGAGCAGGGGGTGCTGGAGTTCCAGACGGAGATCGAGATGCTGTCCAAGCTGCGGCACAAGCACCTGGTGTCCCTCATCGGGTGCTGCGAGGACAACGGCGAGATGATCCTGGTGTACGACTACATGGCGCACGGCACGCTGCGGGAGCACCTGTACAAGAGCGGCAAGCCGCCGCTGCCGTGGAGGCAGCGGCTGGAGATCGTGATCGGCGCCGCCCGGGGGCTCCACTACCTCCACACGGGCGCCAAGTACACCATCATCCACCGCGACGTCAAGACCACCAACATCCTGGTGGACGAGAAGTGGGTGGCCAAGGTGTCCGACTTCGGGCTGTCCAAGACGGGGCCGACGGTGCAGAACCAGACGCACGTGAGCACCATGGTGAAGGGCAGCTTCGGGTACCTGGACCCGGAGTACTTCCGGCGGCAGAAGCTGACGGAGAAGTCGGACGTCTACTCGTTCGGCGTGGTGCTGTTCGAGGTGCTGTGCGGGCGGCCGGCGCTGAACCCTAGCCTGCCGCGGGAGCAGGTGAGCCTGGCGGACCACGCGCTGAGCTGCCAGCGGAAGGGCACCCTGGAGGAGATCATCGACCCGGTGCTGGAGGGGAAGATCGCGCCCGACTGCCTCAAGAAGTTCGCCGAGACGGCGGAGAAGTGCCTGGCGGACCAGGGCGTGGACCGGCCGTCCATGGGCGACGTGCTGTGGAACCTCGAGTTCGCGCTGCAGCAGCAGGACACCTTCGAGAACGGCGGGAAGCCGCCCGAGGTGGACGACTACAGCAGCAGCTTCACCATCACCCCGCCGTCCATGGAGGAGAGCCTGGCGGCCAACGCGGCGGCGCTGTCGCTCATCAGCGAGGACATGGACGAGGAGGACATCGCCAACAGCGTCATCTTCTCCCAGATCACAAAACCCACCGGACGATGATCCTTTTTTCACCTTCACTTAACTTCACTTCACGTCTCGTCTCGTGTAACAGATGAGATCAGATCCTAGATCGATCAGATCGAATGTGTATGGTTGTACTCCTCCCTACGTACCACCAGCAGACAAGACAGCAGACATGCATGCATGCATTCATGCATGCACGCGCGCAGACGGCCCGTCGATCGGCCGGGGTGGGTGCATCGGAGACTGTGTCGTACGTATCAGCTGCTCTATATACTGTATGTATGTATATGTATATGTATGTTCCCCAACTAGTGTAAAGGAAAACTTGTAATACAAACTCGAGTCTTCTTCAACTCTGGTGTGGCCGACCGGTGTGGGTGATGGATGTAATTAAATGGAAATAGGATGAACCAGCTAAGCGGGATCTCCACGCCCTTCGGATGGGATCCGGCAACGTCCCCCGGTGGATTCAAATCCGCGAGTTGATCCATCCCCTTCCCCGGTTTCTTCTTCGACGGAGGACGAGGATCGGGATCGGGGATTCAAAAATCCTACAAAATGGAAGGCTCGTTTTCGGGATAAGCATGCGATGGGGCGATGGATCAGTGGCATGATCTACTCACACCCGTCTCGTTGGACGACGATCCGTGATGATGAAGGAGATATTTTGGCCGGAAGGCATCTATCCGCGGAAGAAGATCTTCATATTGGTATGTGTTTCGTTATTGATTTGTTTCACATCGAGGTTATTGAGTGGGTGCAGGTACCCCCGGAGGTTGAAGAACAAATTGCCACTGTTGATCTCACGGAGGACTCCGATAGATCAAAGCCGACGCAAAGGTTTGGGGGTCGCTTTTGGATTCTTGCTGACGAGGAGGAAGACGAGGTGGACGTGCCGGTAACGTCGGTCCGGCCGTTACCTTTGATTGACTTGGGTCCTAGCCCCATGCCTAAACCTTCGGTGAGTATTAAGAAACCTAATCTTCTTGACTGTCCGGTCCTTCCTCGGAATTCGAAAGTGAAACCATGGTGTGGACCATTACCGAAGGATGGGCCGTCGGTTATCACATTAGATGACTTTTTCCGCCCGGAGTGCTGGACGAAAGTAACTAGACGGAAGAAGAAGGGGGGTCGGGCGGTGTCGCAACGTCCGCCGGAGATTGCTGGCGTTCGAGATTTTCGGGCGGAAAGGTACGATCGTTTGAATTTTCTTTTGAGCACAGTCGAACCGCAAGTGTGCGCCGATGCAGTGGGCTTGGCTAGTACTGGGCTCGAGGCCCAGGGGGCTGGCCAGGCCTACTGTGCATCGGGAGATGGCGATGTGCATGATGAGGCCTTGAGGCGATCGCTCCCGCATGCACGTCCATCTCCATCTCTTTCCTGCGCCGCTAGGGTTCGTTGCTCGGGAACCCGAGGGTTTCCGCGAGCTGTGTCGCGCCGCTCGCCCTCGGTCTCCAGTGAATTGGTTCGCCGGCCGGTACTGTGCCCGAAGTCGGCTTCGATGCCTCCTAAGCCGCCGCCTCCGCGTGCCACGCCGGCTGCGCGAGTCCAAGCCGGGACCGTGGGAGGTGCTGCCCCGGCCGCGGCTTCGCCTGTGCCTGGAGCCGCCAGGGCTGCTCCGCTTCGGATGGTGGCGCCCCAGCCCCGGGCAATAGCACCGCCACCACGACAGCCTGCACCGGCCCCGGTTGGGCCGCTGGCCCCGTCTACGGCAAGGGCGCCGGCCCCGCCTCGGGGGACTTTGCCTCCGCCGGTGGCGACTGTACCAATGCCGCGGGCTGCACCGTCGCCTCCTCCCAGGGCAGAACCACTGCCGCCTCAGCGGCCGTGGCCGAGGCAGATGGCGGGAGGCCGAGGCGGTCCCGGTCAGGGTTCAAACGGCCATGGGACGGGCGCGTCGCCGGGGGATGACCGGAACCCCGCGCATGGTCAGTGGGGCGATGACGGGCATGATGCTTATGGCACTGGTCAGCACCGGGGCTCTTCATCCACCGGAGGTGGCCGTGGCTATGCTTGGGTGGACAACGACAATGATAACCAGGGTTTTCGAGGACCGCCTGGAAATTTTGTCGAAGGTGCGGCCGGTCCTAACAACCGTGCCTTTCGAGGACGCTTTCGTGGAGGTCGGGGTGGGAACAGGCGGCACTACCAGCCTCGGCATGCTAAGACCGCTACCGTGACGGAGTTTACGGATGGTGCATCGGATCTACCGCAGGTGGCGGTGGAGACGGTGCAGGCCTTGGCTGCAGTTTCTGTGCCAGAGCCCATGCAGACTGGCGATGCTAGATCTGAGCAAGGTTCGGACAAGGCCGAGAGTGACAAGCTGTCTAAGTGGGCGGCTAAGAAGAAGAAGCTCAATTGTTACCGTTGTGGGGAACCGGGTCACTTTTTGGTGCACTGTACTGCGGAGTTATGTGACTTATGCCGGAAACCTAAGCACACAGCGGCTGAATGTCCTCTCATGTTGGGGCCTAAACCATCCATTCAGATTTATGGAGTGTGTTGCTCGGAGTTGATGTTTTTTGAGTCTCCTTCTGCGGAGCCTTCGACGCCCATAGTGGAAACGTCCTTCCCCGGTGTGGTGAAGGTGCTTAACGGGCCGTTGTCCGAGGCTCAGATCATCCAGCAGTTAAGAGAGCTCGCCCCGGGTAATTTTCAGTGGTCCTTACTTAAGCTCACCGATAACTCCTATAAAGTGGATTTCCCATCTAAGGAGGATCAGGTGAGGATTCTCAAGTTCGGTATGAGCAGGGTCACGGGACTAGTTTTGTACTTGAGTTTGATAAATGGACCAAGAAAGAGCCACAAGGCACACCTTTAACTCAGATTTGGGTTCGGTTCTCTGGTGCTCCATCTGACCCTCTGGACAGCTTCTTGGTCAATTGGAGCCTGGGTTCTTTGATTGGTAGGACTGAGCAGGTGGATATGCAGTTCACTCGGGCTAATGGGGTGGCACGGCTGCTTGTCAGTGTAGCCAATATTCAGTTCTTGCCAGATGTGGTGCCTTGGACTTATGCGGGTGTTTTATATCAGTTGGACGTTGAGTATGAGGATCCTAATCTTTTCAATGAGTTTGAGGATGATAACCCCATGGACACTTTTGAGGGCGGAGGGGGTTCGGGGAACCAGGATGATATAGCTAAGAGTGATGATGATAAGGCTAAGGGGCCTTCGGGGCAGTCGGATAATGGTGACTCCGCCCCTGTTGGGACTTCCAGGACAGTTCCGACTACCACTCTTCAGTTTGGCTCTTTTGGAGCGTTCTCGACTCCACCGAGGGTGTCGTGTGATAGGGTCCGTTCTGCGTCCATGGCGCCCAGTATGCGGGTGTCGAGATCTGCTGATGGCGGAGGTGCTTCAGGGCAGGATGGCCCGCTATCGGTTGTGTCCTCTCCTTCGACACAGGCTGAGGCGGCCAAGCCGGTGGTTTTGGGAGGAGAGGGCCAGCAGGAGGTTCGGCCCTCTGAGACCTTGATGCTGGCGGCCCCAAGGGTCGGCGAGCCCCCCTTGGTCAGGTCGCCGGTTCGAGGGGGAGCAGGCGTGCAGGAGGCCGTCGTTTCCACTTCGGTTGCTCTGGAGGGCGGGCTGGGTGGTTCGGTTGCTGCGTCATCGGACTCCCTGGACCGCGCTAGGCTGAGTTTACCGGTCGCGGGCGTCGGCGGGGTGGCAGCCCATAGGCCCTGCGAGCTCTCATCGCCGTTGGACGTGGCTCCGGTGGCCCCGGCGCTGGTCACCGCTGTTGGGGGACGGGCAGGAGGCTCTTCCCCTAGCGCAGCTTCTCGCGAGGAGGTCATCACTTTCGGTGGGATCCCGGATCCTGTCTCTGCAGGGAGACGGGTCAGCGGGAGACTGCAGGAGCAGCCGGATGTTGATGACATGTAGCTCAGGTGTGCGCTGAGGGCGGCCAAGCTGCGTGACGTCGAGCTTTCTACTGGTATGTCTGTTAACAAATTTAATTCTATTTTGCATTTTACCAATGATGAGATTGTGCAAAATGCGAACCAATTAGGAGTATCTCTGGGTAATAATGATCTAGAGATTTCTAAATCTGTTAATGATACGCTAGATCTGGAAGCTGAACGAGCGTTAGATTTGATTCGTAACTTGGCGGCGGTTAGGCCGATGAATGAATCGGAGATTGATGTGCTTGGGGTTAGAGTTCTAGATGGTTTGTGTGCTGACCTCGATCCTGCGGTTCAGGAGGCGGAGGAGGAGGATGAGTATGGCCTCCCTGAAACTTCTAACCTTGAGGATGAGTCCTTGGGGATTGACGATCATTCCGAACGTGCCGAACCCTCTGATGTTCGCGTTCAGCCTAAACGGACCTGGAAACGGAAGGTTTATCCGGTGTCGGCTGCGCGTACAAGTGCTAGGATCCGTACCTCTAATTTTTTTTGATGAACTATGAGAGGCATCTTTTGGAACAACAGAGGTCTTAAGGACTTGGCTAAAAGACGGTTTCTAGCAGAGGCTTCTCTTGAACATCATTTAGACTTTATTGCTTTGTCCGAGACTGGACGAGGTAATTTTTCTCCACAATTTCTTAGTACCTTATCTGGGGGGGTTGATTTTGACTGGCACTGTCTCCCACCTCGAGGAAGATCCAGTGGGGTTTTACTTGGGGTTAAGTGCGAGACATTGGAGGTTCGGAGTGTAGTGCTGGGTGAGTTTGCGGTAAAGTTTCGGGTCAGAACTAAAGCGGATGGGTTTGATTGGGTTTTGGTGGCAGTCTATGGGGCTGCGCAACCAGACCTCAAACCAGATTTTTTGGCTGATTTAGTCCGTGTTTGCGGTAACGAGCAACTACCCCTCCTAGTGGGTGGAGATTTTAACATTATTCGAAGAAAGGAGGAAAAGAATAATGACAATTTTGACGGCAGATGGTCATTTATGTTCAATACTATCATAGAAAGCTTGGATCTCAGAGAGATAGAGCTTTCGGGTAGGAAGTTCACTTGGGCAAACTCGCTACCGGTTCTAACTTTTGAGAAGCTCGATCATGTTTTGGCGAGCGTCGATTGGGAACAGAAGTTTCC